ACAGCCGGCAGCCGCCATCTTAGTTAAGATTAGTGAAAAATACTGGCTTCACGTCGCGGCCAACATGCTCCATCTAAATTGTCTTATGTGATCGTTGGGTTCAACACAGCTTTGTAGGTGAGCTACGGTTGGCGACAGATTTCGTCACTATGCCTTGGCAAACAGAGGCGTATCGTTTATTGAAGTGCCAAGAAGGTAATTGGGAAAATGTAGAGGTTTTGTTATGATTCATAACTTGAAAATCTGAAAGAAAATGCACCAAAAATGAGTTGCAAGTTTTAAGGAACGTTATGTGGGAAAAGTATGGCTGGAAAATGAACTGCTACTTTGAACTTTTAAACTATAAATAACTTTGCTAAAAATAGCTTAGCATTTTTCTCTATACGAACATAAACGGGGTTTGTGCTGACTTCAGATGAAAATGCTTCATATAGTGAAGTATATTATAATTTAAGATAACATTTATGAACAGAATTTCAATAAGAGATTAAAATATAAATACATTTCCTCCCAGATACGTGCTTAAATCATAAGTGCTTAAAACATAAGTGCTTAAAACATAAGTGCTTAAAACATAAGTGCTTAAATCATAAGTGCTTAAAACATAAGGCTGCGCTCTACCTCAGCTTGGATTTCTCAATACGAAGTTGCTTAACGCCGATGTTCCATTATACAGTATACTGTACCATTGCATTGAACAGCGCCATGAAGGGCGCTTGCAATCCTTTCGAATCTGGGTGATTACATCGTTATCCTTAAAGTTTTTAATAAACTAACTGCAGATTCTTGATTTTAAGGATCTATTGCACTTCCCCCGTTTGTTATTTTTTCTCTATAAATTATTTGTATGTGTTAAATCTTATGATAAAAAACGCGTATTTTAACATTTTTACCAAACCCTACATTTTTTTATTATCAAAATTTAAAAAAGCGAAAATCTTACAATAATATTTAACGAAAAATATGACACCAAGATCTTTTAAATCGGTTCATAATTGGGGCTACGGACAGTAAGAACTAAAACCCTTGCATTTGCGCGCGCCAGACGGGTAGAGTACTAAGTTAGAGATTGGTTAGAGTAAAAAGCATAGCCGAGTTCATTTTTGGGGTTTTTCTACGAAACTGTTTTATTTTCCTTTCTTTAATATATATGGTCCAAACCTAAATCTTCTTCCAAGCTCTATTGCTATTGTTGGATAGCGATAGCATTATAAATTGATTGCACAATGACATATACAGTAGCATCTAGGTCCACAATCGATAAAAAAAAAAAAATAAATTAAAACTCAAAAGAGACTAAACAACGAGCACACTATGATAAATAACAGTGAGCGGATGTAACTAGGTTTACATTTTTAAAAAAATTACAAATACTACAAAAACAAATTCGTAATATTGTTTAAAATGCGGCCATTGACTATTTGCATCTTTTAGTCCATTGTACGCCCATAAAATAAACATAAATAAAGAATGTTGTTGGGAATGCATCTTGACCGACTACTGTCCCAGCCTGACGGCGAGAGCGGGAACTTCATCAATCGACAATCTATGTTACCGACATCAGTTTTCATGTTGGCGTTATAAAGAGGGTTTTCTTGTGGTGTAACTTTTTATAGAGCAATTAATTGACAATCCTAATTTTAGTTTTACCACTGTATATGTTTATAGTATTTCTAAGCCGGGCTTAAGAATTTTATTCAGGTGCAAATACAAATTAAAAATACTCCCGCAGCAGCAAACCTGCAGAATAAGAAAATTTCTATTTGCCTATGCCACCTGAAAATTGTAAGTGGTTAAATAAGCGAGTTATGGGACTTTGAAGTGCTAACTCCATTTGCTTTCCAGACCAAAAATGGTTTCGTATATATTAACCAAACTACTATAAAAAAATCTTAAAATGTAACTTTCCAAACTAAAACATTTTATTTCCCATATCGTTCATAAATAAAAATACCCCCGTCGCAGCAAACCTGCATACTAAGCGAATTTCCATTTACCCGGCTTGATTTCTACTAAAATATTCCCTATAAATTTTCAGATTTATTTCCTATAGCCTAACATTAATTTTAGTGAGTAGTTAGGTTTGCTGTTACGAGGAAGATGTTGAGGTGTGTTTTTTCAATTGAAATATTGATAGCTTAGTATGAAATAAACCAAATTGCCAAATTTGATTAAAATATATCCATAAACAAGCAGACTAGAACAGTTTATTTATTCTCCATAAGAATAACATGGGAATTTTAAATTTACAATTTTTTTAACTTTCTCCGTAGTCAATGAACATTCAAAAACACTTCAATATACTAAATTATTTGTTTTTTTAAGCTCTTCAAAATGGTCAAGAGAGAAATTTAGAAATTTAAAGTTTTTAGGGTCAAAAATGAGAAAAATCCATTTTTACCCCATAAAACCCCCCATAAACCCCTGATCCCATGGTCCGATTATGCTGGTTCGCGAACTCGTTCGAATAAATGTAGGTTTACACGTTTGTACCAAATTTTATCAAAATCGGATCAATTTTGCTCGAGTTATCGCGCTAACGGACACATATATAAATATATATATATATATAAATATATATATATGAATTTGAACGGATGGTGTTTTTGGCCTCTGGGGACCTCAAAACGAAAAAGTAAATCGGTCCCGGGTCTAGGTCTTACCATGAGACCTACGGTAATAGCTTATTCCCTAAATGGGAAATTCGCTAAAAAATACCATTCTTTGTAAATACGATAGCTGGTTTATTTTGACATTAATCGAGGGAAAACATGGTTTTAGAACAAAGGAAATTTAGGCCTATGTACAGAATGTATAAAAAATGCTCCAATGGAAAATTCTTAAGCGTTTTGAAGCTGGAAAGACATCTGAAATCACGTAAAATCAGCGTGCCATATCACGTACCATATCAGAACCAAAGCTGATTGCAGAAAGGAAAAAAATAAGCTAAAAACAAATCAATGGGATTTTGATCATACACAACTGATCAAATGTCAAATAAGTAAAAATATGTTCAGTAGCAAAAAATGTTTCAAAAAATTTAAAAGGTTTAATGAAGTTTGTCACAGTTGTCCAAAAAACGTTTCAGTTGTTTGCGGTTTTTTAAATCAATCTATTCACTTAATTTAAGGAGAGAATACATCCTATTAAACCCTCAATTATGTTTCTCACAAGATTAGTGAACAAAACATTTTCAATGTTTTCATAGTTTGCATGACGATTCGTATGTAAAAGGGACAGTTATGCAATTTTGTAAGGAAATTCGTTTAAGATTTCTCACTTTTGTATTCATCGGTCCAGAACCATTGAATATAAACATACAAAATAAGCAGAATGCAAATTGATAAAAATATATCTGAAATTTGCCATCCCACTATGTATTAGTTTGACGAACTGTTTTACGTCTTTATTGCAACATTAAAACTAAGTTTGAAAACGAAAACCCTTTATATATATATATAACCTCTTAAAACAACTTCCAGCTAGTTTTCAATTCTGCTAATGTAAATATGCAGCTGCTAAGAAAGTGATTCAATAATTTCGTCTGTTACGATTATATTTACATTAGGCTACATAAGGCTATACAATCGAGATTTCGAGCTATTGACAAGAATGCAATTTAGCTAATACCTCACCTAATAAAAAAATCGATTAATAATTTCGATTCATGCGATTGCTACAATGCTACAAACAAAATTTACTGTTTACAACAGCTGATTTTCACATGTTTTCTGTGCTAAAGCACAAGAACATAGTTTTTACTTCATAGGACAAGGGAGTAAAATAGCACTTATACCCGCAACGTCTGCAGTATGACGAACAATTATTTATTCTTATTCTATGCTGATAGTGTTACAGTTGATGCATTTTCGGTAACATAGATTTGATAGTGGCGCAGTTCCAGATATATCCGCTAGGGTGGGACACCGCACAGTATTGCCGATACACACTGTGCTTTACTGCAGAATTTCCATTGTATTGTCCCGATAACCGATAACTTTATCGGAGTTTACCTAAGGGGGTGCTTTATACAGCCATTTCAGAAGAACAGTTAGATTATGTCACCAGTTTGAGTTCGATTAGGCCAACGTTTTAAATGCGCCTAATTCAATTCATAGGAAATTAGTTTTATTTTTAGACATTGTGATGAAAACAAAAATACCCCCGCCGCAGCAAACCTGCAGACTAAGCGAATTTCCATTTGCCTAATTGGATTTCTAAAATGTCTCCTTAAAATATCACATTTATTCTCTATTTCCTATTTAAATAGCATTAGTTTAACAAGTACTCTAGGTTTGCTGCAACGGGGAGGGTAAAAATGTTTTTTTTCATAAAATTTTAATAGTTTAGTATGAAATAAATGCATTTTCCAAATGCGATCAAAATATGCTCATAAACAAGCAAACAACAACAGTTTACTTATTCTTCATAAAAATAGCATGTGAATTTAAATTTACATTTTTTTTTATTTTCTCTGTAACCATTAGGCACATAATAACGCTTTAATGTGCTAAATTATGTTTTTTAGGCTATAAACCATAAACCCCCGTTCCTATGGTCCGATCATGCTGGTTCACGAACTCGATATAGGTTTACACGTTTACACCAAATTTCATAAAAATCAGATTTTGGATACTTAAGTATACATCTTATAATACGAACAATCTGTTAAAATAAATTTTTATTGAAAAATAACTTGTTTGAATAAGCCACTTGAAGTCCTGTCCAAATTATACTTTCTCCATTGGATTTGGTTATTGAGATAGTTGATGTGACAAAAACTATGCTATACCCAACAATAAGTCCTATCAGTTTGATTTTGTTAACAAGTTGACATATCGACAGAAATCAGTAATTTGAATCAGCGTACTCAGTTTTAGTAGCTCTGTCTAACTTCTTCCACAAAAAAATCAATAGTGAAAGACTGTACAAAACAGCAAACTACACTTCAAAGCGCTACCATACAAGATCCATGAAGTACAAGTACTGCAGTACTGTACCTGGTTGAAGTACGCCGGAAGTACGCATCTTTGGTCGTCCAGTCGACTGCTCTGTACTCGCTCTAGCAGCTCGAACAGATGGTCTTGACCGGTGTTCTGCAAAACAAACATTACTTTAGATAGAGGCAGAAATTAAGTAACATCCATAACTCATCATTTCTCCTAACTCAGTATTTTGGGAGCAAATACACATGACTGTGCAAAGTTACCGACAATGCTAGCACTGCCGGCATAGTATATAATCAGCCATTCTACCATGGTATATAGTCAATGATTATATGAATCAGATACAGTATAAAACAATGAAATTCATACTTTGCAAAGTCATGCTATTCTATTGAATCTCAGTAGCCATACAGGTATAGTACAGGTACAGTATAAAATATGCTGTTGTAGGACTTTTTTCGACTTTTGTTTCCTTGTTTGGCATCAACTAATTTAATTTTAAAATGAACTGCTCTACCCTACCCAATTTAATATTTCTTTTTTTAGACTTTTAATTCCTTCGTTGGCATTAGCCAATCTTATCTACAATAAACAATCATTAACTAACCTAACCTAACCATACATAAACTGTTTGGATATTGTCAAAAAAGTAGTTACTAGTGTACCTGTTGCTCGAATTCGAGCAATTGCGAATCATTACAGACGACTCAAAGATTATGGAAATACTCACGATCTACACAACAGTTAGATATAATCAAAATCTTTTGTAAATATCTTATCTTCTTTCAAAAAGCTGATCTTGTTTTTTTTAGTGTTTTTAGTGTAAAAAAAACATGATTTCTATTTCTTCTACTTGGTTGTGTTCTATGACTTTTCTATGTTTCCATTGTTTGCAAATCGGTTATTTCAATGATTGCTCAAGAAATGTAGCACAGTGTTAATTCAGTTTTATTTTTAGCCTATATCAAATTGTCCAGGATTTCTAGCTCTTTTCCATTGTAATAATTACATTAACCCATGTTTCGTCTACAGATGCAATATGCCAAAGAATATCACCTACGTACAATCTCCAAGAAGTGGTAAAAAAGGCAGAAACCAACCCATACAATAGATATAAGTTAACTCCATAAGAAATAATTTTAAAAGTTACTGTGATATTAGGATTTTCCACTGATTTGGTAATAGAACATTATATTGCAAAACATGACACGATGCAGAAGAAAATCAATTTTAAAATCAGAAAAATCCATTGCAAATAAGGTAAACTCACCAGTAGCTGACAGTATAAGAAACTATACGCACTTAATAATCCGTGGTTTTGAATAAATAGGAACTAAAGAGATATTACGGATTTTATGTGATTCTTAATTTATTAGTGTAGTTTTCAAATTTGTCATACAAAAAGGGTTTTTTAAATATATTTTATAACATTTTTAAACTTAATTCAACCTTTGTACGTGTTCCAGTAGCTGACAGTGAAAAAAGTGCTTGTACCAGTAGCTGACTGTTTTAAGATAATTTGGCTTAGGCCTATAAATTAAAAAATTAAAATAATTTTATAAAAATGTGAGATCACATAAATGATAAATAGCATGCAAATTTCGATGGGTAAAACCAATTTAAGCCGGGTTTTCCTAGGCGCGGAGTCGGCGAGCGGAGAGAGGAACGCGGAGAGCGGACTCCACTTTTTGTCTTAGGCAATTTAATGTTACTGTTTTCCTAGAAGCGGAGCGGAATGCCATGTTAATTTCAATTCCGCTCTCCGCTCTCCGCTTCCGCACCTAGGAAAACCCGGCTTTAATATTGTGCAAGTAGCAAATATCCCCTGTCAGCTAGTGGAACTTGTATGGCTTTTGTGTTCCAAAGCCTGACATTGATATAATTTTAAATCCAAAACCCCTAACTCCCAATTTTATCATGAAATTGTCAACAAAGGTATAATTGATAAAAATAATTAGCCTAATCATTAATACTATTTAAGAAATTTAGCGAAATGACAAAAAACCAAACTTACTTTCTTAACAATTTAATTAAGGGAATCGACTAAATGTGATGTGTACAGACAGGGTCACTTTCAAACCACCACCATTCCGCGAGTATGGGCTAAATTTAACTGATTTGTTTGTAAACAAATCAAGAATAAACATATGTTCTTCTAACAATGCAATCATGTGTAAATATTTTTAAGAGACCACATTATAATGTTAAGAAACTCAAACTGTCAGCTTCTGGTACACTGTCAGCTACTGGTGCATTTACCTAACTGTACTTCATTTTGACAAATTCAATAAATCACAATTTAAAATTAACAGCTGTTGCATTAAAAAGTAGTGTAGAATTATGCATATGGTCGTAATGTAAACAAATCTGAAGAGGCAACTTTAAAGGCTTCTGGGGCAGAGCCCCGAGGGAATTTACCTCTTTCCTCTTTTGATGGCTCATCTACAGACCAAGACCTTTCTTTAGAGACCCCGACCAAGTTTCTACGCCCAGCCGTTCTCTCAAATTAGCTGTGACAAAAACCCTGTTTTCCTCCATAAGAATAACATGGGATGGGAATTTAAAGGCCACGGGGGCAGAGCCCCAAGGGAATTCGCCATGTTTCTCTTGGCTCATCTACAGACCAAGACCTTTCTTTAGACACCTCTACCGAGTTTCTACGCCCAGCCGTTCTCTCAAAATAGCTGTGACAAAGAAAAACAGTTTCAAATTAATATATAAATTTTCGAACAAATATCTTTGTTTTATACCTTGCTAGAGACGTGATGTTACAATTTGCTCAAGCCCTAGGCAAATTTTCTAAAATCCTATTGTTGTTAATCTTTTTCATACTTTGCCTAAAAGCTTTAGGCAATGTACATAATTCATGCAGTACTGTATACTTTGCCGTTACCATAATGTTTATTTTTTAGCAACTAAAACCCGTCCATGCTTATTTAGTGGTTCAGTTCAAACCAGGTTCAAACATATCGCTTAACCGTCTTAGTTCCTAATTTTCTTATTTGTGCAACTCTCTATAATTAGCTGAAATAATAGTATTATTGGACTCATTGAGAACATAAGTCGAATATATGGACTTGTAGCTACGAAGATGCAAATGTGTTGTTTCAATAAACTATAAAACAATCATTTGTTTTATAAAAATTATATAGTGTCTGTTTTATCCGTCTGTATTTTACATAAAGCTGTATTACATACCAAATGGGTATTACTTCATACGTCAGTACACATAGAGTAACAATACGTTGCTGTTAACAAAGATGGTTGTCTATATATAAACCGCTGCACCTGCACTTGTGTGTATATATAGGAATAGGACACACGTGGCCTTCAATGAGGTACAGCCGAAGTCATCCACGAGGTACTGTTATAGAAAGGATCTTAAAAAAAAAACAGAATTCAAATTTAAAAAAATAGTTTTTGATGGTGGGGTTTTTAGATGTGTCAGACTATTAATTTTCGACGGTAATCTTATCTGTTATTCAAAATAATGTATAATAAAAAAAAATATCACTCGGTATTTTAGTTTCTTTAGGATTATACTTGAGTAAGTTGTTGTGTTATCGATACGCCTAACTTAAATAATATTAATTTCTTATTCGAAGAGGATGCAGTTATGAGAGGATAGTAAATGTTTAAAATGATTTTCTTGTGTAAAAACAATATAACGTTATAGTGTAACGCAGTTATAAATATTTACCTATAGGCCATGGACCTGTTAGATAATTAAAAATAATTTATTTTATTCGAAACCTAAAGTGGCTTTCAAAGTTTCCACAAACTCTTGGATTTTTAATAAGAATAAGATCGATGTAACATTGTCGATACGAAGCAAAACTGAAAATCTTTAAAATAGATAATTTAAACACTTTTATCTTAAAATTCAAAACGAATCAATGTATATTATCAACATAAAGTTATAAATAAACCAACTAAAAAGTATAAACATGTTGTGTTTAATTTGACTGTTCTTGCAGAGAAGTGTTAACGCCTTCATATAAGACGGAGCACCACGCGCAGCGCATATGCCTGTGTGGATTGCAGCGACAAAGTTGAAGGCGGCTTTAAATTGCTACTGGTATGGACAGTGCAGTAGTGTTTTGGTACTATACCGATCACACATATTAATTATAACTAAGCTAACCTAACTTAAGGGTGACCTATGTTTTATATTGGTTAGGTTTGGTAGATTTTGTTATTTAAACTAATTAAAATCTTATTTGGAAGTCGATTTATCGGTGTGGTTGGTATATTAAAGTACCAAGAAATCGATCACAAAGTTGCTTATATGTCTCAATAAACAATGTGAGGACGATATGTTTACCACACATATCACATCATTATTAGTATACAAACGATGGTAAATAGTGTAAACTACTCACACCAGTTATTGAATTGGTGGTCAAGTTATCTTACTATTACATCAGTATGATTAAATCCCTCAGATTGCAGGCGAAGCAGTAAAAACAATAGCATTTACAGTTTTAGAAAAAAAACCCATATAAAATATATATTTTTTATCCAGTGTAAAAAATGTGTTATTTTGGTCCGTATGGAATCACTTACACGACATTTATTACACCAAGGCAAAACCATACCTAACTGTTCAACTATAATATTTCCCGAACAGAAAAAGCGTAAAACAATTCCGAGAAACGAACCTCACCTACTTCGTTTCAATAACAAAGAAAAAACTGACGTAAACACATACAGACGTCAAACATGGTGAAAACGTGGAAATGGAAAACATTGGCAACAGGGTCAGACGAGTGGGGGAATTCAACAATGGAAGATGCAATCAGCTGTTACTGTGCAGTATCTGTTCAATCAGCTGTTTCTCCCATGGCCTTATCAATTTCTCACATTCCAACCGCATCTGATCTTGTTATTTTATATTGACGTTTGCAACTTTATTCGCACAGATGTTGGCGTCAGATTGCGTGTATTGCGATCTTCATTATCGCTGAACACGGACTGGGAAATTTATAGTGCGGGGAACGTAAAAATCGTAAAAATATAAGTGAGTTGGAATGTGCAAGTTCTTTGTGATAGACCTTGTTAGATGATTGTTAGATTATTGCCGTCTGTCGAGTCTTGCACATAGGTACTTCTGTTGAACCAAAACGTGTTATCATGCATCAGTGGCATGTAATGTCATGTGCAATGAGCTTTGCATGCAAAATCAATAATTCAATTGAGCCAGCATTAAACTAATGACGAGAGGCCTCTTAAAATAACATTTATTAAAACACATTGGTGTGGCATTTATTTTGGAATTTGTTAAAACGAATATTACTAGTTCCTCATAAAGATTGTCAGATTTATTTTAAAGTTTAAATTTTTAAGTTTAATGAGTATTTAGGTTTTCTGCTACAGGGAGGCAGTAAAGTGTGTATTAGTAAAATACTAAAAGCCTAATACGAAATAATACAATTTGTCAAATTTTATCCAAATATATTCATAAAGAAAATTACAACGGTTTACTTGTTCTCTTGGAAGGATGTTTTATTTACAGTTTTTAGACTTTTATCCGTTACCACTAAGCATACAGCAATGTAAATTTTTATATACTGTCATTTTATATGAATTTTAACAGATGACGTTTTTGTCCTCTAGGAGGTAAAATAAACTAACCATAAGACCTACGGTAATAGCATTGACTATTGGATACTGAAGTCAATTGTATTGACTTGTACTGAATTGATCAATAACTGTACTGAGTGATTGTATTGATAGTCAAAAGTAATAGCTCATTCCAGGTCTTACTATGAGTCGTACGGTGATAGCTTACTCCAGGTCTTACCCAGTCTTACCATGAGACATACGTAAGCCTACTCCAGGTCTTACCATGAGACATAGGCCCTACGGTAATAGCGTATTCCCTATATTGGAACTTCACTAAAACCAGTGAAAATTCAACTGCTTAGTGTTTTCAAAATGCGTAAACAAAACCAAAATGATGAAACCTCCACGACGCCCAAAGCTCGTGGCCTCTCATTGGTCAGCCGATGTCTGACAATGGCTCTACACTTTACGATCAACAAACTGCGGTTTACGATACATCACGTGACCAAGGCTACGTACGAGGAACATAGTGTTACGTAGTTACTATAGTGGAATTCGTCTAACTTTGAGTGTTTGGAGTCGCTTGTTTACTTTGTGTCATTGGCACCGGATTGGGCCAGGATTAGGATTAAGAATTATAGAACAAAAATAAAAAAAAGGGGGGAAACTAGATAACTAATATCAGCAATCTGACTCATAATTCCCACATTTTGTCAACAACCCTTAATATGAGCAATCAGTGGGAGTTACTAGGCCGGTAGTATTTTATCGGGGAAATCTTAAAAGTTGCAATAACATTAGAACCGTAATTTCTGCAGCATTGTGGGTTGTACAGTTTTGTTTAGAGTTAAGGACCATAATATACTGAATTTTTTTTCAAAATCAATGTAGCCATTTTTTGAATCCAATTTTCCCGTTATTTTAAAGAAAAATAACCATTCCAAATCAAAACTCCTGGAGATAGGCCTACTATGGATTAGTACACACAAAATCAATTTCATCAAAATCGGACGACAGGTGTAGTCTGTAACTTTGTACATTACAAACACACATACACCACTGTGAAAACCACTTTGTTGGTTCAGTACGATCAAAAACATATATTTCTACCCAAAACTAGGAATCTTTTAAAGTGGATTATCACTAAATTATGTAAGCCTATAGAGGGAAAAAGTAAAAATTTACATTGAAAACCATTGTGTTATAAAGTTCAAATTTAATTAACCACAGTTAAATTTACTACACTTTACAACGGTTATTTTGCAGCTGAAGCTGTTGCTACGTCTAGTTCAGTTCTGCAATGATTGCCGCACCTACTCGTTGCTCGTTGTGGTGAGAGTTGTTGCGTTGTTGTCGCTTTGCCCACAGCCGGTGCAATGTCTACAAACTTTACTACATTGTTGCTACCCACAAATTGCCCTCACAAACATAGTAGAACCCTGATAACAAGACCCTCGATAACAAGTCACAGACTTAACTGCCTCCAACGCTGCAACGCTGCAAACGTAATTGTGACAATATTCAAATATGGTTGGAAGGCGTGGAAGTCTTGGGTGCAATGACGTTTGTTAGTCTTGAGTTCACATAGGACAAAAACCGAAGTTGCAAATGGTATATTGCATCCAATTTTAATTTATTACAAATTTTTGAGTCAGGAAGCATAGTGAACAAGTCTTGCAAAGAAAATAACGAACAAGATCGGAAGCGGAAGACTCTACCACTAGAAATAAGCAGAATCGCAGAATATTAATTCCTCATGTGTTACTTTACGAAATCCACACACGTTCCGTTCTGGCGGTGTACATATTATTTAGTGCAATAACCTGAGCAAAGGTAAATAGGGGTAGTAGTTCGATTTTACATTTTATTTTTGGAGTACATCATTAACCAAGGGCTCGAAACTGCCCATATAACCTTTGACTATCAGTAGACATTATGGGAAATAGTAGGCATAGTTTGGAAAAATGGGAACTATCCTAACTACTAAGGCCTAGTTTGGCATTACATTTGGGGAAACCAGCGTTGCATATTGATGTTTACCTCGACGTGTGATCGAACCCATGTTTACATTCGTAACACTGTCTAGTTCTAGTTTATAAAGTTTAGTTGGGATTGTGTCATGGATAGACTAATTTCCCAAACAATCAATCAATGCGTGGAGTGTAGACGTCTGGTAAACGGGAACATTTTTTACAGTTTATTTGAGAATTACAACTTCCTGAAACCTTAACCCCCACTCGAACCCAGGTTTACTGGAGTTGCATATTTGTTGTTCTACGATGCTAGGCATGAGCCCGGGATTGTTTTTCATATTACTTCAGGCTAGACTTAAAGGGGTGGGGGCATTATCACTTAGATAAAATCCATTGGTAATTTGGCGGGATTTGAACCCAGGACCTCAGGGATCGAGGTCCCGCGCTCTCACCACTAGACCAGTTGTGGATGGATAAAGCTCTTGTCTACACGTTCAAACAATGAAACCCATTACATGATAACTGTAGGCTAGTTGTATTTTTGACAGCTTGTTCGGGAATACAGCCTTGAATTTGACCTCAACCTTCAACCCTACCGTCAAACCTTTGTTTACCAATTACTTTGTAGTATTTAAGGTTTGCTCTACTGTTGTGGACCTGGCCAATCCACGTTTATTCAATCAATGTCTGGTCTGGTTTTAACCACCGCCCCACTTTCCCGCGATATCGGTGATCGCGCCCCGCAGCCTTCCGCTACCGTTCCACCAGCACCACCATTCCCTCATCTCGTATAACTATTCACAAACCCGTTCTGCCACTGGATATGCCGCAACGCTGGTATGCGTGTAAGTTCTGTTTGGCAAACCGCAGGACAGAACCGTTCAACCTTGAGCCTAATTGTCCTACAATCGTTGCTGACACCGTTTACGGTTTACACTTCGGTTATGAATCGTGGGCTCGTTTCCTGCGACCTAGGTGTAGTCTTGTGGGCAACACGAAAAAGCAGTTGATTTACAATTTTGATTGATTTCTTGCGGTAAAAATCTGAACTAACTGCGTGTTAAGCTTTTGAGGATCCTAGAACGAAAAGGTACAGTGGTTGATACCTAATCTTGGATGAGGATAAAAAAATACGCCAATGCACAATAAGGGAACTCGCAACAAATTTTTGAATCAGATCAATACAAAATTCAATGTCAATACCAGAGCACTGGCTGATATTTGATACTCATCAATGACTAATGCTTCATTATGGCTAATCATTGATGTTACACTGATATTATGTTGACGATAACACTGTACCCCAGATAGCACGCCGGGTCCAGTTGACCTAGTCGCTGAGGAAATTAATGAATAGCAGCAGATTGCTGATTCTGAATACACTCTAATTGGCTCGTCTCAGCCAGCTGTGACGTCAGCAGCTGCTAACTGTTGTATTTTATAATACTCATCATAATATTGTTAGTAATAGTCAAACTATGTTTTTGTCTTAGTTTTATTTACAAATAGCCATGAGTTTGTATGGGTATTGTTTATACATTACTGAACCTTTATCCGTCTCCTGGTAGAGCTCGAAATATTTACAAAAATTTAAAACAAGTAAAATGTATTGGGTCCATTCAAAAGTCAAAGTCAATGCGATCCAATGACCTTGTTCAGAACCTGTCATTTCCAAGGGTCGCGTAATTTCCCCAAATAAATAGCCTGAGCGTCAAAGCGTGCTCCATTCAAAAGTCTATTCATCTTCTTTACACCTAATCGAGTAACAAAAATTCATAAAACTAGCCTGAGAAAAAAAAAACTTGTGGCAAAGCTAATTGAATATTTTTTTTATCATGTTATGTAATAGACGAACTTACTTATCAAGAATATTTATCAACTTATCTTAGAGCTGCTGAAACTGACATCTTATCACTTAAGTTTCATTTCCTGCTTTGAAAACAAATGTTTAATGTTCAGTCACTCAATTTTACTGCGGCATAATCTTGAATCGAATTGATTATAATCATCGAAAACAAATTAGCTCAAAAACTTTGTAATCATTGAACAGTTTAGATTGTTATTTGCATTTATTTATTTACTCACGATAGAAACTATTTTTAAACAAGGCTATAATAAGGTAAACCAACAGGTTAAAGGATTTAAATGCATGTGACTATTGCCGGGACCAGTTGTCCGCCCCCTCATACATCCAATACAATATCGCTTATCCGAACTTGGACCCGGATGGTTTAGGTCGAATGATCGAGATTCTACTGTACTACAAACTAGGAACTTATATCTACACATCTGTGGAGGTTTTATTTACCTTGAACTTATCCGACTGGCCAGTGTCGGGTTGGGTGGCGGGTGTTCTATATAGCTGGCCCTCCGTGCCTTGTCTCCTGCAACAACGGGGATCACTATTAAAACACAATACAAGAAAAGAAAAACACTAGAAAAATGCATATTTTTGAGGCAGTTGATAAAAACAGCAGTCAATGTAAACTCCAGACAAATAGTCAAACGCTTGATGCTGGTAGTCTATATGTTTGTTGAACGAGACTAGGCCTACGGTGAAATCAGTAATTGGTCGGATGAATTTTTAAACCAGAACGTTTAACTATGGCTTCTTCTCTAAAAATACAACGCTGTATCTCCAATGGAAAAAATACAGTATATATTCTCATCCCTGGATGAGACAGAAATATTTAGCCGCGGGCAACTCATTCCAGCGTTATCATACATCAAAGGCTCGGGAAAATGGAATCAACTGTTAACAGTATTGACAGATATTGATAATAGGTATATGTAATCAATACTGCATAATCAACGTAAGAATTAGGTTTCGAGTAATTGTTTACAGTAATACCATAGATAAAACATACTCCCTTAATACCTACTAACCTACCTTTATACCTACTACAGAAAAAAAACCTGTAGCTATTAATCATATTGACTTGCAGAAAATGTTTTAAGAAATACAATTTTTAGCGCCCCACGAAAATTGTCTGTTAGTGTTAATTATGAAATGCCTTATGCTGGTAATTAACTTTTGCTAATTTAATACAAATTTATAACGAAACGCTGTATCTCAGTCTATAAAATACAGTTAAAAATATCCAATATCTCATGTTCCAGAATGAGATAGAAATATTTAGCTGCAAGCACGTATTCCGCCGTTATTTAACACCAAACACAAATGTAAATATGCATCAAAACAGGATTCAATCGTGACACAGAATTTACCTATATTTAATTTATAATCAGTACAAAAAGTAAAATTGTGTATTGCAATCGACAGTTTATCAGGAATGAGCTTTTAAGTTTTAACAAAAATACTGTAGGTAAAACTTCAGTGGTTCATAGTATAAACTCGTAAAGTAATTTGTATTAAAATACATTCAAAAACTACCACGAAAATAATCTGCTTTTGTTAATTAAAAAAAGTTGATAACAAAATTTCCTGTGGAAAATGTCTATGTACAATCAGCGTTTTTAAGTTGTGTATTTGATTTAGAATTATATACATTTTGTTACAATGATATAATACCTACGGAAAAGATTTACTGTGTTATCATACAAGTTGATGCCTTTAATCTAAAGATAAAATCATGACAACATGAAATCAAAGTAACGTCGCTTCTCTAGACACCAAATTACGATTGTTTATGCGTGAAAAAACGGTATAATTTAAATATAAACCATCGCTGTCACATGTTTTCTCACCAAAACGAACTTATATCACACCCCACAATGCACTAAACATAAAAAACGCACTCTCACGGAACTCTAGACGTAAAATAACTCTAAACACATTGGGTCCACTATGACGTCATAGTGAGACAGTGTCGCCAACAAAACATGGTGTGATGTAGACAGGGTGCCAACAGGACAAAAATATCGTGGGACAGGAAGAGGCTGCAGTTGGTACTTCATTAATGGGTTAATTGAACAACTCTTTTTACTGTACCGAGCGGAGCGTCAGCGCCCGTATACCCACTCAACGCGACATCTGTACATGAATGAATTACCCGGACACATGTAATCGTTTGTTGCAAATCACGGGTGGAATTTAAACTTTAAAACTCCACCAAGACCTTTAAAAGTGTATCACTTTGTTTTGTCTTGTAAGGCTTTTAAATTAGCGTTTAAGTGCAAACTGGATTATACTGGTTTGTACTGTACAATATTTAGTCGTTAGCACACCTCCACCTCCAACCAATCATTTGTTATCAGTTAGTCCCCAATGTGTCAACTTCCCAGGAATATTATCATCTTGGCTGATTAACAATTGGGTTGAGATTTCATATTTTTATGAACTGTAAATATTTTTAAATAAATCCAACATTCTTAGATTTATTTGGGTTCAATGTACCTAAAATTTTGCAAGTAATATTAATCTCTTTTTACTGATAGGCTAAAAAGGTTTTTAGGTTTTTTAGGTTAGGTTAGTTGAGTTAGGCAGTGCTGCCATTAACTAATAACCATATTTGTAACTATGGAAAATTTTCAAACAGAAACATCGTAAGCATTCCTCCAACTTTTAATCTGAGTTGCGCATTTGGAGACATATCGGAGCTGCAGAAAACAATGTTGGAAGACCAGAGTAACAATGTTGGTTACTTCAACGCTTTCCGATACTACATGCTATACATACTTTGTAGTTTATCATTTTTTGTTATGCCAAAAACAAAGTTCGTTCAAATTTCTACTTCAGAAATTTGTCTAAACTACGAGAAATCGTTTTGACAGCAAGCAAGTCATTTAAATCTTATGAAGAATAGTTGTTTTTTTAGGAAGCCGATCAAGGACAGTTTTATGACCATAGACAACTACTTTTAGCATCGTAATATTTCACTCAGTTTAAAGGGATCACAAACTTTTAGCAGCTAAATCTATCTAGAAATTCAAAGTCGAGCCACAGCCTTCTACACCAGACGCTGCTACACTGCTACAGCCACCTGCATCCAGCGTATGACTGATGGCTGATGTCTTGGCCTTGTTATCCAGCCTGGCCGCGTGGGCCCAGTGTGGGCAGATCAATCAAACATCTGTCGTAAACTGAATCTCAGTCCAGCTCCAGCTACAGCATCCGCAGCTCCGTAGCTAACTGGATTATTTAGCGTAATCACAATCGGAGACAAAGTAGTTGCAGTGGGTCGATACTTTGTACAGTCTTGAACTTGGAGGAGATCCAAATAGTCCGGACCAGTTTAGTATTGCTGAAGTGCTTCACGTTGAGTTGGTCGTTGAATAGTTTACGATTTTTAAGAGTACATGCAGCACTGTCAGATAAAAGATTCGAGTATATATCGTATTGGATTCACGCTATATTATGTCGATGTTAGTATTAGAACATGTTAATCCTTAAGGTGTTAAGAAGAGTCTTTAGAACTATTCTGTGGCGGTTAAATAGGTTAGGTTAGTTTAGTTTAGAATAGAAAGACCTATGATTCTGTGAACTACAGATACTGTACTGGCTCTTCAAAAGGAACACACTTAAATCCATTATTTTAATACACCAAATATAGCATCATATTAGCTACATTTATTCCTACCACTAAAAGGATACTAAACAGAAACAAATGCTACACGCAAAAGCAACACTTAGTATAGGTACTCCAAATAGGTACAAGATAGAGTACAAAAGAACGTCAGCCAATTTCCCATTACGGGTCCATTTACGTATATCGGACGTAGTAGGCATACTATCTGTTTCATTCTCAAGATCCACATTCCCTCGCCAACTCCAGTTCTCGGAGGCAGTTCTATTCCGTGTTCCTCGTACACATTCTACATGTCATGCCGATCATACTCCGTCAGTACCCATTGATGCCTACGATCAACCTTCTATTGTAGCCTTCAATACCGCCCACTGCACCGACTACGGTTGCCGCTTCCGCCCTGTAATACACACATACACACACACACACACACATACGATTGCACGATTTATAACGTGTTCAGTTTCTATTTATCTCGTGTCATGTATCGATGATAATTGGACTGACCCGTTTTGTACTAGATATTTATGGGGTTCCATATGGGACAAACAGTGGGTAAAGTTACTGCAATAATGAAATATGAATAGGATAAATCACGTATTGCTAGTTGTCGTTTGTGATTAATGTTTTATTAATTAAATAATAACATATGGTACCTAATGTATTGAATTAACTTTTTTAAAGTTTTGATTGATGGTGTTGTGTTAATTATTGACTAGCCGCAGACTTTGAACTTACGAAGTGGTTGTGAGTGATACCACAGAATGTGAAACCCTTTCAGATTTACTTTATGAAAATTTTCAATTGGTCACAGAAATCTCTTGGTTCATGTTTCAAAAATGTCGAATCCTATGGAATAATAGGAAAAAGTGAAACAAGCAATAATTTTCTGATCAGAAACCCAAATAAGTTTTGTCATCACATTGCGGTTTTACCCTACTACAAATTACACATACAGCAGATGAAATAAAGTAAGTTGTGCTTCCTACTTCAGAATCATGAATCATCGTTAACAGAATCAAGAGTTATCTCACAGAGATAGCGTTAAGATAGTCTGAAGCTATTTTGAGTAAACACTTCTAAACAAAATCTTGAACAAAATGCTAAGTATTAATGCTAGATATACCAAATTATGTAATGTATCTAAGATAAGCAACGATAACGAGTAAAAGTAAAATGCTAATACGATGCGTTTACATCTTAATTCCGTCCGCATCCAAGGTGGACCCTCATTCAAATCAGCTGCATTCCTCAGTCAAACGTAAATCAATTATCTTGTAGGCGGTGCCAGGGGGTGAGGGGGAGGGGTACAGATGACAAATTGCCGCGATATTACCCCCGTGTCCTCACAAATTGCAACAGGCCGTGTTTAGTTAATTAAGCATTCCAGCGGCCAGCGAACTATTACGTAACGTAACGAGATCGATAAATCGGGAAATATTTCTAAATAACGGAGGCGCCATTAATATTAGAACAATGGGTAGTGCAGCGCCGCAGGAATAGATATTGTATATGACGTCACTGTAACCGATGTCGCTGTTGTAACAGTATTGATGGTTGCGGTGCTGTTGGGGTAACAGTTGCTCATGATAACCAGACCGATGACGCAGGACAGAGGAGTAATATGATAGTAACCACTATCACTGTAGTAACAGTATTGATGGTCGCCGTTCCTCCGTTGGAGCAGTTACTCGGTAACAGTTGCTCATGATAACTAGACCGAAGGCGTACGACATAGGTATATTTACATGATATTAACCAATGTCGCTGTTGTAACAGTATTGATGGTTGCAGTTCCTTCGTTAGAACGGTTACTCGGTACCGCTTGCTCATGATAACTAGTCCTAAGAAGCAGGACAGAGGTTATATCATGTTATAACATGATATCATTGATAGTG